TTCTATCTCAGCCTGTCGTTTCCATTGTTCACTTTTCGGAGTGCTTCAGTACCTTGAAAACTTTTCTCTTGCTGAGAAAATACCTTATTCTTTTGACCTGTCTCCTTGCTTTTCATTTGTTTTGCACCTCTCGGTAATAAATCCACACCCACGGCACTCACTGTCCAAAACTGCATTCTCACAGACAAACTTGGAATTGTACAGTTGCACATAGCAACAATCAACGTCTCCACGCAGAATCTTTTGAATTCTTCATGTTTGCTTGGCATCTCAACCTTTTTCACACACCCCAGGGCACTTAAAATGTAGATATATTATGAAGGAGTTAATTATTCTTCAGAATAAAAGTAAAACAATAAAAGAAGATATAAATTATAAGCCAAAAATACAAATAAGATCATGGAGCTGACTGGCCTCATTTCAACACTGCTTAATTGAATGTTTTAATCATATCTATCTATCTGATATCTATATCTATCTATGATCTATTTATAATCTGTCTATCTACCCATATGGTTTGTGTGAGTGTGTGTATGTCTGTGTGTGTGTGTGTGTGTGTGTGTGTGTCTATCTCTCTGTATGCATAGCCATGTATATGCACAGATCAGAGTAGGCTTTCTCCCTCCACCATGTAGATTTCTTGGAATCAAATTCTGGTTTTCGGGCATTGGGATATGGCAGCTTTACTTACTGAACCATCTCACAAGCCCCAAAGCTGAGTCTTGATGTATTTTGAGTTAGATTTGTCATGTGCTCTCAGTTTCCCCCTACCCCAGTGCTTGGATAACCAAATCCCCAAACCTGACATTTGCATTTGCTCCCTATGTGTCCCTGGCTGGTGCTTTAGTCTGTCTTTAAATAAGTACTAACTTACAGAAGTTCGGCAAAGCAAGGCATGTGCCCCAGATTTATAAATACAAGTGCAGCACTTGTCTTCTCAACATTGCATATCATTTTGCTCTGGTACATGTGTGGAGATGACAGTTGTCAGCAGGTGTCCTTCCTCCTTTCTCCATCATTCATCTCTCATTGTAAGGGTAGGTCCAGTTTCCAACCTGCTCTTTCCCTCCGATCCTATTCTACTCCCCACCCACTGTCTCTCTTTTATTTTTTTAGGTCATGACAGAAGGGAAAAATGAACAAAGGTAATTCATTTTGTCTCTTCCACCTATGGCCCTAAGAAGTAAGTACCTTCCCAATGGGAAACAGAAGCCTAATTGACAAAGTGGGGTTTCTAAACACTTTTCTTAGTATTCCTGACAGACATCCTTTCTCTGCAGATCAATAGCTCATCAGATTGCGAGGCTTCCATCTTGGTGCCCTGCTGTGTTAGAACCCCTCTGAAACAGATTAGGAAAGTGACTTCTTTCTGAACAAACATAATTCTCAATGTCTTTTTAATCAACAGAACAATTCTCAAGCAGAAGTAGAAGGCCACCTTGCATGCAGACTCACTGTTGAGTGTCTTGAAATACATCTGTAAGGGAATGGGGTGAGGAGTGAAGAGAAACTATTACTTGTGATTCTGAAATGCCCCTTGTAATGCAGCATGAATAAGCATAACACAAAGAAATCAGTCTATTCAATCTCAAGATGATCCTCAGAGTTCAGCAGTTCATTTTGAGGCTACTTCTGTTGTCCTGCCCACCAGGTGAGCAGCAGACTCAGAGAGAAAATGGCGGTCACAAACTCTGGCTTAGATATCCACTCTATTACTTTTCAGCTGTGTAATTTTGGTTAAGTTACTCAGTCTCCATGTGACTTGTGCAAAACTCAAAAATACAGGCAGCACCTACACCAAAGAATCCCTGGGACCTTTATCTATATGCACTGAGGGTGATGCCAGGCACATACTGAGCCCTGCTCCAAATGATATGACAAACTTTAAAGATGCCCCATGGAAGGCCTTACCCTCCCTGGGGAACAGAAATGGAATGGGATAGGGGGCCAGTGGGGAGCATGGAGAAGGGGAGGGAGAGGGAACTGGGATTGACATGTAAAACAAACTTGTTTCTAATTTAAATAAAAAATAACACAAGAATCTTTTATAAAAGAACCATTATCTAGAAACCACTGGAAATCTATGATAGATTTAAATGAGCTGATACAAGCAGACTTTGGCAGTGGTAGCACCTGAACTCTTTGTAGTGATGGTCCTGTTGGTGATGATGGTTGGAGGTCATGGTACCAAAACTAGGGGCTTCTCTTTATTGATTGTCTGTCACAAGTTATACAGACATTCTACTGGGTATTCAATAAACATGTTGTTTGACTGGGTCTTAAAAACAATAATATTTTATCAGTAAAGAAAATAAATTCCAAGGCTAGTTGCTCCAATAAGATGGCAAAATGAGTAATGCTGGCTGCCTGTTTCCCCAGCCCAGGCTCCTCCAGAGAGCAGGAACCCCTGGTCGTCCACCAGCTTTCCACTTACAGGATGCTGCTTAGTCAAAATGGATTTCCCGCTTCATACTCCAGACACCTCCTCATCTCCTTCATATGTTTCTTCTGCTAGCTACTGAGTTCATGTTTCTCCAAATTGCCTTTGTTGACTCCAAGGCATTAGGTTATTTGATGTTATCACTCTCATTTGTGCTCTTTGAAGATGTAGTCACAGAAGGAAAAAGACCTTACAAGGCTGCGAGTGTTCAGACAGGATAATAAAAAGAGGCAGCATTAGCCACTGTCTTGAAACCATGAGGCCTCAAGGGAAAGGTTCTGGTCTCTCTTGCCTTGACCTGTCCCTTCTCCTATGTCTCCATTGGTGAGGGAAAGTAACTGATTCATTTGTCTTTTGAAGATTTGCCAATGCTGTTTACTATAGATAGAAGAATCACAATTGTGTTCCCTCTGCCCATTCATCTCCTTTCAGTAACAAGATAAAGCCATACTAGCAGCTGAAAGAAGGTGATGGAATGCATTTAGCCCAGTCTTATTTGATTCAACAAACATAAGCCAATGATTAGTCAGGCTTTAAATGCAAAACACTGAAGAGCACATTTACAGTGCCAGGTCACTAGTTAACTCAGCAGCGATGACAATAGTAATTCAGTACAGTCTCATCCTGAGTCACATACGAAGGGGAGGGACCTTATATAGAAAATGTGCTCTTAACCACTAGGCATCATTAATTCCCAACCAGCTCTGAATCAAAACAAGGCATTCCCTGTAGTTTCTGCAACAAGTTTTTCTCACCCTCCTTCCAACCTTGTTATTTGGGGTTTTCAGATTCTTTTACTATTGCTTTCTTGGCTTCATGCATTAGGATCCAAGAGATGGGAACAGAAAAAGGAAAGGCCTTAAGTTATTTAATTTTTCCATATTAATATTTATTTGTGGTTATGTGTATGTGCATGTGTGTGGAGGTCAGAGGACAACTTGGGATAGATGATTTTCTCCTCTTAGTATATGTGTCCAAGGGACCAAATTCAGGTCATCAGGCTTGGTGGCAAGTGTCTTTATCCACTGAACTATCTCATCTGCCCATTTTATTGATTTATTTTTATTGGTGATGGTGGTGTGTGAGTGCGTGGATATTTTCAGTCCTTTTCTATATCTGCCATGCTGATTCAACAGCTAGATACAGTAATAGGACATGCTTTACTGGCTATTATTTTCTAATATGGAAATTGAGGCTTTGTGGGGACCAGCTTTCTTGGGGAAATTTCACTCATCTATGAAGCAAAAGGCCTTAATCTCCTTTTGGAGCCTGTTTCCTTTTGCCGACTATGGGAAAGAATTTGAAATAAAATTGCCTCAGAATCTCACACATGATTTTACAATTTTATATAGCATAGCTATTCTCTATAATTTAACTATTTGTTTGGATATTAGGTGTTAAGTGAAGCTTTTCCTTGCTAGCCGCTTTGGTTTATCCCCCACCAGCCGCCTGGGCTCTGCCACGCGAGCCTGTTTCTAGATCCGCATGAGTCCCAAATAAACACACAGGAGGCTATATTAATTATGAAGCTGTTGGCTTTGCTTGTCTCTTACTGGCTAGCTCTGACTTAAGTATTTACCCCATAATTGTTAATCTAAGTATGTCTCTTACCGGAGAATAGTTCCGGGGTCCTACCTCATGGCGTTACATCTCGACTCTCTTGTGTTTCCCCTTCCCAGAATCCTCCTCGACTCCTAGTCCCTCCTATCTAGGTTTTCTATTGGCCAGACAGTACTTTATTGACAAATGCACAGGCAAATAACAGGACTTCCCCAACAATTAGGAATACAGTTATGTTTTCTTAGTAGCAACTTGCATGCTGTTCTAGGTAGATGCGCACACTTTTCTTGTGCCTCTTTGGCAAACAGTTTGGGCATTTGGACTTACATACAGTGCTAGCAAAACTACCTCATAAGAATTCATAGACATTAGCAGACTGTAACTCACCATCAGTATTCGGGACTTCTTTGTAGGGAGTGAAAGCGTCAATGAGTGGTATATATGAACACAGAGCCAAGAGAGGCATATTATGCTGGCAGCCCTCCTGGTGAAGACTTGACTTTCACAGTGAACTCTTCAACCCTCACACCCATTAATTTAAAAAAAGCAACTATTAGTGTGATTAGAGTCATGGCTCATGGCATTGCTTGTGTGGCGTTGAAGAAGCTTGGGGCTGCCAAGCACTTACCTACTAGCCTCCTAGTGTCACGCCCAGCCATTTAGTTGTATGAGAGTTTTGGTTCATTGAAGGCAAAATTCTCTAGCACTTTGTGTTTGCACATGCTGGTCCCTTGCTTTGGTATACCCTTGCAACTGCAAAATCCAGCTCATATTAATCCTCATTTTTCTAAACTTCAAATGCTGAATATTTTCAATGATTAAGATGACAGCAGCAAGTTCAACACTCAATATAACAAACGCTTATTGATTATTTGTTGGTATTCAACATTATTAAGGTTATAAAGATAAATAAGAATTATAACCTAAAAACTATAAAGTTAAATTAACACATAACTATAATAAACTAAACAAATGGTCGTATAGGAGAAGAAAACAATTACTTTTATCTTTACCAATTTCAGGCTCATTGGTTTGTGTGGAAAACAGGTGTTTTTATCTTTTTAGATTCATTGTCTGGGCACCTACAAATAAAGAAACAAAAGCAAAAGATAAGATTAAATCACACTATTACCCTGAAGCACTAAGCTGGGTAAAGCAGGGGCCTACTTACCATTCTAACAGAAGGATAATGCATTCTGAGTGGAGAGTCAAAGCAAAGGAAGAGATCATAGCATTCTCTGGGTGTCTTTGCCACTGAAATAGTAGAAAACATGGAGGACTGCTGAGTTGTAGTGTTGGTAGATTACAAGCCCACACATGCGTGGTACCTTCCATGTTCTACTAGTAGAGAGAGTAGAGAGATGGAGGAGAGATAACTATACAGATATGGGGTTTCCTTTTAGGCAAATAAGGACAAGGCAGTGAAAGTTTTTTTTCTCTTTTTGGTCTGTTCTTTCTCAGGTCTCTTAGCTCAAAATAAACCTCAGGGAAACTGCCATGTTTCAGGGTAACCCATCTTGTGTACATTTTATATGTATGTATCTTTCAGTCTATGTTATACATCAATGACTTCTTAGGTGTGGGGATCACAGCAGGACCGAGCTGTTTTTTCAGACTTGGAGAATTTACCGATGTTCCAAGAGGTTGAATATATAAACAACATTATTAAAATGCTATAATCAAAGATGACAGCTAAAGCTGTTGTCACACCTGTATGGAATAGGCAGAGGCCCACGTAAATGATCTCAAGAAAATATAGAAGCAAAGCAATACAATAAATAGGAGCTTTCTATGCAAAACCTCCCCTGTCAAAGACATTCTAGGGAGAGAAAAAGTCACACAAATGTCTTGTAGTTACCAGAAGACCTAGGAAAATATTTTGTGCCAAAAATGAGATGTATACAACAGTGGATATCCTAGGGAGAGAAAAGGTCACACAGATGTCTTCCAGTTACCAGAAGACCTGGGGAAATATTTTGTGCCAAAAATGAGATGTATACTACAGTGGGAGAGTGGAAGTTATGATGGGGATTTTCAATTGTACCTGCAACTCTATTACTGGCAATTGCAGCTGTTACCCGAAGCAAAAAGATTAGACCATGGTGATGTAACTTCAGCTGCTACTAGATTGTCTCTTGTACAGCTGACTCCCATTACCACTTTTGAAGGAGTGGGTGAGCCTCTGTGCCTCCTGCTCTTTTCCAGTCTCATATTTCTGTGTCCTTGTGGCAAAAGCTCCACTGTGTTCATAACCATCCCCAAAGAAAAGACCAAAAGATTGTTCTTAGCTTTCTTGTTAGGCAATTCTGAGTGGAAAGCAGGGATGGAAATGGCTTCTAACATTCACTACATTGCATCATACTCACCGACTATAGAAAAAAAATCTGTCCTGCAAGGAGGAGAGTCTTTTATGAGTATGTTTTAGAGAGCAGAAAACATGAGGAGAAATGGCACATGGGTACTGCCTTCTGGCTGTTCCCTATATTGGCACCACAAAAATGATAGGAAAGAGCATCGTGCCACAATAGAGTAGAAACTTCTAAGTTTACAGAAAGTAGGGCAAACAAACAAACAAACAGACAAAAAACTGAGTCAAGGTCATCTGTTCTGTCACTGAAGTTTTCTATTTACAGGTGAACCTTTTACTCTGAGGATATGGGGTTTAACACATCTGAAATTAGCAAGAATGTCTTTGAGTGAATAGTTATTTACAAGTATAATCAATAAATAATACAATTTGAACTGAGCTCTCCAACTACTTACTGATAATGTTCTGTTTCATGCCAGGAAGCCTGTTTGGTGAATTATAATGTAGCAAGGAGTGAGAAAGCATAAGTCACCTTGAAAGTTGATTGAATATAATCAATGATTAATGGCAAATTTGTGGTCCCTTTAATGACCATAGTTAAACAAAATCAAATTGAACCATAAATTCTGGATGCTGTCTGCAATTGGGTCGTGTAAAAGTAAGCTTTGTGAAGAAGAAAAATCAATTTTGTAATAATGTTGTGATCAGATTCATGGCTTACAATTTGAAGCTTTTCCTTTTTATTAAAAAAAGAATGTTGACTATTCATTTTGCATATTCACAGGCATTTAATTAGATCAGCAAAATTGCATATAGGGAATGTCAAAATATTTCAGTCAATAGCTATACATTTTCTTGAGGTGGATTTTATTTCGCTCACATCCGCTAAAACCAGCATGAGTTCAATCACTTAAGAGCAAAGATGTTTTGATTATCACTTCGATGAAAAAAGAAGCAGGAAGTGGACCAACTTAGCTCTCAAAGGCCTACTTGAAATTAGCTGAATGGTTTCGGTCCCCTAGAAGTTTGGAGCTATCATATACTTCCATCAGTATAAACAGAAAAATTGTAATCATGTGTTAAAAAATACATTATTATATTGATCTCAGGCTTTATTAAAAATAAGTGGACTCTTTGCCTGAAGCGAGGTTGTTCATTTATAACTGCAGTTCAGAACTCAAGGAAACAATCCATTTTTGTACCACTAGCCAGTTTTGAAAAGGATCATCGTAGAGAGGGTGACAGGAATTTGTGATCAATGCACTCCTACTTGCATGGCTACGTTGCACCAAGAGCAGATGTGGTGTTCCTGATTTTATCATTCCCACCCTTACACTAAACTGATTTCCAGAAGCTGCTATGGGTACCAACATCAGAGAAGACCCATAGACATGCCACTTCTGTTCCAGGATTAGAGATGAGACCTAAGGGATGGAAACTGGAGTCAGGGCACAAAGCTGACTTGGGAAATGGAAGAATGATACCAGCTGGGTAAGTGCATCTCCAGCCTATGATAATCATCCTTCATCTGCCAACTGTTGCAGATGGGATGGAGAAAAAGGTATTCCCCTTCAGTTTATCAAGTATATCAATAACTGACATTAGACTGGCAATGTTTTACTAAATGAGTCTTACTATTACCATACTGTAGCTTTTTATATAGAAAGAATTTGGTTGTGAAACATTATTGAAACAGTAAAGAGAATCGTGACAGAGCAAATGGCCTTTATCTTTCTGAAGAGAACAACAGTTGTCCCCTTCAGATAATTGTACCCTTTGATTTACTGCAATCTCCTTCCTCAGTCTGCCAGTTGCCCAGAATCCTTGGACTGGAGCACTCTTTGGTACCTCTATTCATCTGCTCCTAATCTGTCCTTTCAGCTTGCTCCAGAATCAACCTCTAATATTGATACACATGCTGTCCTTCTGTTCCAGTCCTGTCACTGTTAAATCCAGCAGCAATATCTGTGGGTGTTTCCTCTGGTCTTTCTTCTTGCATTAAAACAAATATTTAACATATAAATTTGATCATGCGTGTTCCTGTTTATAAATTATATATTAGATAATATAGCAGGAAGGAAAAATACTCCATAACTCACCAACATCAGTTCCTCACTATGGTCATTCCTGTCATCAGAAGTCTCTTCTGTCTCTTGACCCCTCCGGAGGAAATCATCATTTAGGTTTATGAAGACACAGTTTTAGTCGCAGACATTAGCATTTAGAGGCTCTGATATGTGTCTGAGAAATTAAGTATATCTTCCATGTTTTCGTATTTTTTCCAACTCCAAGCATGTCACAACACCAATTCCAGCTTAATGTTGACCACAGTGTTAAATCTCTTTTTCTCCCTTGCAGTACTACCTTATGAGTTCATTCTGTCATCCACAGCTTAAAATAGGGTTGCACAGAAGATCACAGCAGCAATAAACTTGAAAAGAATTCTAACCACAGCCTAAAGAGAAAAGCACAGTTCGCAGAGAAATACAGAAGTGGATTTACCCTTCTGTGAAGATGTATTTTTAGGATTTTTTTTCCATAGCAGTTGGGAAATTTGTTGACTGGCAAAGATCTAGTGCCCTTTAGCAAATGTGTCGTTCTCAGGGGTAGAAAAGAAACCTCTTTGCATATGGCTGTTGTTGGGACTCCTAAGTACATTTCCCCAGTTAGTTATTTTTTTTTAAATGTTTGTACTTTGCAGGTAGTTAAAGACCTGAATCAACATTTTAATGGACTATTTGTGGGAAGAAAATTTTTTTTGAAAATTAAGATAGATCACCTATAGTTTTTTTTTCTTCTTAAAGCTGCATGACCTAAAAATAAAGTTCTATTTGTAATACTATTGGTTGCTTCTAAGTTTATTTTTCCCTGCTTCCGTGCATACAGATGTCCAGCTTCTTAAGACTGGTCCTGTGACAAAGTTCTGGGGGTTTTGTTGTTGTTTGTTTGTTTTGCTTTGTTTTGTTTCAATTTAAGACAAGGCCTCACATGCACAGATTACCCTCAAACTCTTTACACAGCCAAGAATGTTCTTGAACTCCCAAGGGCTTTTACTTACCAAGTGTTAGAGCTTGATACATGTGCCCCCCTGCCTGGTTGACTGATTTGTTCATTGGCACTGGAGACTGACCTAGAGAGCTGTGCAGACACTTTACCATGGAAGTCCATATGCAGCCCCTGGAAGCTCCCACTATTAGTGTTGTGGTAGGGGGTGGAGTGGGGATATGCCATAACAAAAAACTGTACCTGAATTTCTCAAACAGAAATTAGTTTTCTTGCACCAGGAGGTTACAAGTCCAAGTCTGTGAACAACAGGAACAGATTCCTTAGAGAACTCTGTTCATGGCTTTTCAGTGCTACCTCTGAGTTTATCTGTACATAAATTTCCTCTTGTGAAGTGTGACATTTAGCCTTGGTTGTTGATTTCACTGGATCTAGAATCAACTGAGAGACACTCCTCTGGGTAGGTCTTTGACACTGTTTCCTGGAATGATTAGCTGTCAGGGGAATACCTTTTCCCAGAAGGGGTAGCACCTTCTAGAACTGAGTGGTTATCAAAATCTTGGCCTTGTCAGCAAGCCATTGTACTATCCACCCCACATCATGTAAGCCAATCTAAAAAGTCCCTTTTGTAATATGCATTAACTTTATCAGTTCTGTGCCTCTAGAGAATCCTAACTACATATGTATGCACACCAGTCATACTGTACTAGGCTCTACCTAATGATCTAATTTTAACTTGTCTGCCTCTTTCAAAACTCCATTCCTGTTACAGTCACATTCTGAGGTACCAGAGGTACAAGAATTAGTACTTGAACATATGAAATTTGAAATTTGAATTAGATGCAATTCATCCATAACATTCATCCAGTGGTAAACTGAGTGCTGGATGCAGTTTCTCTCTTACTTGCTTAACAGATTCTTACTTACTGTGGGCCTGCTTCCCGCCCCTCTCTGTCTCCCACTTGTCTGCTTGAAAACACAAGTGACTGATTAACATGACTAGATTGCTGAGATATCTTCCTCAAGTAGAATTTGTCCTCTTTACCTTGCATTATGTTGGGAAAGAGAACTGAACTTGACTTCATTAGTAACAGCTAGCTGTCTCTTGTCTATTTATTACAACACACTGATTGTGCTAACATATTTAATGTTTATGCCTAAACCCAATTTTCTTCATCTTAAAAATGGGAATATCAAACATTCTCAGACTGTTACAGTGGAAAAAATAACATTTTTATGCAAAAGTACTCAGTAAAGTAATAGCGAAGGCTGTCCTGTGTTTCTGGTAGTTTGTCTGTGTTAGTTTTGGGAGACAACTTGGAGAGGTTAGGAAAAGATGGAGGGAGAGGCCGAAAGCTGCAGCATTTCTGGAGGAAACTTGTTAAAAGTCTCTAAGTCTTACCTTTACTTAGGGGATCCTTTTCCACTGGCTCCTGTCCTCCTTCATACCGCTTCCTTCCCTTCATTTGCACTGGATCACATCCGATACATAATGTGAAGAGAATCAAGAAGCTTCCTAGCCAATGCACTTTATAGGGTGCTAAAGCTAAGACATAGGGTGAGAAAAAAGAAACATTATAGCCAAGGCCTCCAGCTCATTAGTTGGGAGAACCATACTGGACTCTGACTTTGACATTCTGTCAGCACCTGGTTTGTACCAATTTGATTCCAAATACACTGTGTGGTCAAGGCTAAGGACTTGCCACCAATCTAAGACTTCGGTTTTGCCACTCGCCTTTTTCTTTTTCATCATTAAGTTTGTATAAAACTTAAACGTGGCTGGAGTTTGAAGAGTCGTGTCATTTTACAAGATTGGTCACAAATAATAGTTGTCCCAAGTACCTATGTTATTTCTACATTAGTTATATCAACTGCTTCCTCTTTTAGTTGATTGTTTTGCTATTATCAGCCAGAGTGCCAAATAACATGTTTATTTGTTTGTGCTTATTTGTTTATTTATTTATTTGGCATCCACATGCATTTCCATTTTGAGAAATGAAGTTTTCACTTACCTTCTTCTCCTTGGGGTTCCTCATCCCCCTTTCTGGCTCTACCCTTGAGGATACTAACTGGAATTTTGGTAGTTAGATTAGTATTAAGGGGTTGTAGTGTAATAACAACGAAGCGCCAGAATGTGGAGCTTGTGGCCAAATTGCCTGGGTTCAAAATCTGCTTTTACAATTTGCTGCCTGCTGGACCACTAAATTCTGTGTGCTTCAGTTCTTTATGTGTAAAATGAGAAAAAGAAAGCATCTGTCTTGCAATTTGTTAGTGTATTAAATGAGATTACACATTTTTAGTTATAGTTCCACCCCCACATAAATCTCATATGTGAATATTACCTTTGGAATTTGTTTTCTAGAAATCACTACACAATGTGTTATTGAGCTATGTTTTTGGTCCAATTTTTCTTCTCTAAATTAGTAGATACCTTGTTATTTTCATGTGACCAGTGATCCCCAATTTATCAAAAAATCATCTGTAGATGTTATCAATATGAAGATATCTTCCTGGAAATGTAGATAGGAGTTCATCATAAACTGGTTGCTGTCCAAATCACTTGGACTTTGCCCGGGACGTTCCTTTCATTTCTGTCCAGTTTGTAATTCTTCCTTTCTCTCTCCTGCATTATTCATCTTTCTCTTTAGAAGAATTTCATGAGGGACATCCACCTTAGCCTATTTTTTGTTGCTATTCCAGAATGGAATGATTTGTAAACAAAGAATGTGACTGGGCTAATGGCAAGCTGCTGTATTTCAGTATGCACTGTGATTGAATTTACTGCTAAGTCTAGCAAACCTATGCAATGACAGATATTGTCATCTTCTAGTATGGTGACAATGAGGATTTATCTCTTAAAATAGCTTTTCGTTACATGGGATCAAAGCATTCAGTAGTTCCCTGTTTTGTTATTTAGTGATGACACTGCTAAATATCATTCTTTTTCCTTTTATTAAAAATAGACTCTTTTCTCATACAATATATCCTGATTATAGTTTCCTCTCCTTTCTTATTTACTGTATTCTTTCTCTGATAATGCCTAAGTCCTTTGAAGTCAGTGTCCATGTTTGACATATCATTATACCCTTGGTACCTAATGTGATATGAAGACAATATTAGTTAAATGAATAAATGAAGGCTGATGGACAGACACCTAAAGTCTTAAGAAGATGCCTAAGAAGGTGTCTCAATATTCAATCACTAACATAAAGTACAAATATGCATAAGACCAGTAAAATAGGAGACATCTTACAATATTTTAAAATTTATCTACTTGAGATGAAAGTGTAGAACCCACCCACAGTCAAGACAATGCAGAAACATTTCAGATACGAGAGGCAGAGAAGCCCTTCATTTCTGCTGAGGTATTTTAGGAAAATGTGTCTGTATACATTTGGCAAAGTCCAGTGATTTTCCAGGGGACAGGCTATTTGGCTGGATGAGTCATTTTCCTGGTCATGCTGTGCAACCTTCTGTATATTATTTTATCTCTTGCTCATCTTTTAGGATGAAGGTTGGGCCAAGAACAAGAGGCAAGGGATAAAAGCATCATTTTTCTAGGACCCCCAAGGAGGATGCAGAGAAATTAACACTACACAAATAGTCAGACTCTTAGTGATGCAATGTGTTACACATGGTGAGTGCTAAGTGATCGGCCTGACACACAAGGGGAAAGCACGATGTCTTGCATTCTTAATTGTCCGCTAATTTTGATGCGCATTGTTTGAAAAGTGTGTGTATGTATATATACAGGACATTCTGAGCGAAGTGAAGTGAAGCCTTAAAGTAGTGTTAATTTGCATTTCTTCTGTGGCGAAGGATGTCAAACATTTAAAAATGTATTTCTTAGTCATTTTTGGTTCTTCTTTTGGGAAGTTTCCATTTAGCTCCATATCCCATTTTAATTGGATTATTTATTTTTATTTTCTTGATGTTAGGTTTTTGCTTGTTTAAGACTTTAATCTTATTTGTATTCTTAATCATTTTTATTTTTGCTTTTTAGATAGCTTGTTCTCTGTCACTTTGGGGAAAGTGAGGCAGCTCAATTGATGAAGGATAAATAAACTTCAGGCCAATGAATGCTTTCTTTCTGAAATCATCTTCTCTTTTTATAGCACACGTACTTTGATAGATTTTTTTTGTTTTTGTTTTATGCAAGGTTTTATGTATCCTAGACTGACCTGAAATTTGCTATATATCTGAGGCTGTACTTGAATACCTAATCTCTCAGCCTCTGCTTTTCCAATCCTGATATTACGGGTGTTTAGAATCCTGCATTTTAATTATAAATTATTATAATTAAATTATAAATTATAATTATGTGTAAGGAGTCATCTTGTTCTTTGTCTTGTGAATCTCAATGCTGTTCTGATTATGGCTTGAATTTGACTTCTATGCCTGGTACTCTTACAATTCCTTCACTTCAGATTAT